CGGGGCGAGTACGAGGATAGTTGTCAGATGCGACTATCTGAAAGGAGAACCATATAAAACAAATAATACATTTTTAATTTTACACAAAGCGTACGAAAAGCTTCACAGCCTATAAGGCTGAGTTTGTATCAGGGTCAGATTGAACAATAGGAACTCGTTGACTAATGTTCACCGATGACTAACGTAAATCACTCGTCCGGCTCCGACTTGGAGCTCATTTTCCAGCCCAGACTACTAGCCGCTGTGAGGCTGCTCGCACGACTTGAGAGTAGGCTCCAATTCAGAGCGGCACGAGTATGGTTTGTTAGCGATCGGTGAACGTTAGTGAACAAATGTCAATATCTCCCAATTAAAACCGGCAAGACACCAAGCCCGTGGCTCAATGGTTAGGGCGGTTGACTCCAATCAAAAGGTCGTGGGTCTAAGCCTCGGGTGGGACAACACTTGGGTACGGCTATGACTGGCTAATGACCGCTAATGAATCCTACATGGCCATTCCAGTCTCTTTTCTTTGTCGGCAACGCTATCTATAGTAGGAACTATTACATGCAACATATAAAAAGGTACGCAGTGCTTGCTGTATTCTGACTCCCGATTAAGAGCCAAATACGTAAGTAGATGTGCTAAAATTTGGAACCATGCATGCGATTATGGAGAGGATGGAGTCTGATAACGAGCTCCTTCGGTTTCCCTTTATCAAGATGTTAGTTCAAAAGATTCCGAAGTAATGATTGGGTAGGCTAGCCTGAAAGATTTAGATTATGTTGTGCTAACTGAATAAATCTTAGAAATAAGGACTCAAAACCTACCTCTAGAGTGAACATCGCATGCGTGTAAGGGCCCTCATTCGGAGTGAGCAGGATCTCAAGCTTGTCTCCGCAGACGGAGGAGATGCTCGCTTGCTCATTAGTTGATTCTTCGATATTGACATAGAGACTTCGCAGGTCCTTGAGGTAGCTTCGCCCTCCTTTGTAAGCCATCGCTTTTGGAGGTTAGCTTTCAATCCTTCATATAATTAAAGTAGACTTTGTCAGGGATTTTTGAAACATACGTAATAATAGTACTCGAACAGACTTCTTGAAGAGGACCCAGACTGATTTTAGTTAGTAAACCTAACTAACTAACGGTTACTTTAATAAACAGGGAAGAGTTTCGATACCACCCCTCGCTGCAGGTGTTCGTATAACGTAAGACTCTGCCAACTCCCTAATGCGGTGCGAAAATGACTCGCACCTTTGCCAAAATAATGTCCCAGTTCGGTAAAAAGAATTGTGCATTGTCACAGACTGGCGCACCAAATTGGAACATACTCATTTATACTCTTGAACACACGTTAGGCCGACAAGATCAACGGGTAATGGAACATGTATATCTGAGGGTCTCAATGGCAGGGGCAAGGACGTCAGATTTTTAACTGGATCGCTAACCCCAAGATATCTGCGGTGAAATAGCCGAACCTATACAACTATATTTACAAATCACTAGATCACCAAAAAGCATATAAGATTTTCTTTTAAAATAAAACTGCATCACTGGCTTACAAAGTATGCACATTATCAAAAGTTAGCTGAAAGTAGCGCTCCGACTATATGACTGTATGACGGAACACGTTTGCTACATTTTGTCCTGAGACGTTACCAGGTTTTTGCTAACAGTCATGTAGCGCAAACAAAACAAATAAACAAAATACGCTCGTCCATCGAAGATAACCGAACCCCAGACCTGGATAACCTATAGCTTCGAATAAGCAGCTATGGACTATGAATAGCTGTTACAAAATTAGGGAAAACCAGTTGACATAGTGATAACAAACCACTATTAACTCAATCTTCTTCGCCACCGCTACCTTGCGTTTTAGGGCTTGGACTACAGAGCCAGGCGAAACAACACAGCGCAATATGTTAAGTAGCTGTCAGGAACCTAGCCCTTTCCAAAGCCCGAAGGGAATGTCCGGAAAATGTGTGATAACAGTATAGTGATCCATAATAAGGAGACTGACAAAAACGTTGTGCCCCACAAATCCGATCGGATAATGCAGACAACTAGTATGGAATGCGCACTACTATACCGAGAAAAAGCCAATGTTACTGGGTGCAAGGGGTTGAGAAATTTGTAGGTTGTCTATACAGAAAGTACGATTATGTGCTGCCCCCACCAATGCATCAGAAATGTCTATCGCTCGTCCAAATCTGGGGTTCAGAGTGTAGCCGGCAAAAATCAAGATACCCAGTTTAATTCTCCTGTCATTCTCGAGTAAACTGACCGTTTGACTCCCCATGACTGAGACAGTGAGGCAATTGTCCTCTCAGAGCAGGCAAACTATGCATTACTTGCATGCGAACCAGTCAAAGAACAGCCAACGACGTAGAACTGAAAGGACACTTAACTAGCATCCCAGTCATCCTCATCCAGACCGGAGTGTAGGCTGACGACTGGCAATATAAAGTTATGTTCACTCGCAGTTGCAAGCG